CTTATAAATAAAAAGCATAAGTATCACATCTATGCGTAGTTCAATTCACGAAATCATTTCATCGATCTGAGTAAAAACTAAGTGCATAAATTTTATTTTGCGGTAATTGAAATCGTGAAATGGTGTTCATTGATTCAGTTTCTACTCAAACGCATGAAATGATTTCATGAATTGGCCTACGCACGGCCGCTGTGGTGCAGTGTTAAGCAGTGCGCGATTTCACTCATCGGCACCTGGGTTCAAGCCCTAGTCAAAGCAACATCGCAAAAAAATATATAGAAAAAAGGGTTTTTCTAAACAGCGGTCGTCCCTCGGCAGGCAATGGCAAACCTCCGAGTGTATTTCTGCCATGAAAAACAGCTTCTCATAAAAATACAATCGCCGTTCGGAGTCGGCGTAAAACTGTAGGTCCCTCCGCTTTGTGTGACTACATCAAGGCGCTCGCCACAAATCGGAGGAGAAGCTCGGCCAAACACTAACATATGTGTAAGCGCCAATCTATTATTATTATTATAATGGTAGTAAATGACAGAATGAATTACAACAAACACATCCTTTTGACATAATGCATGCCGAAAACGTTGGTTCAAATCAATCCGCAATCAAGTTGGACGTTTTGCCCACAAATATAGCAATTTTGCGAGCAGTCTCATGGTAAAATCTCATTTTTACAATTTCATAGTTTCGGCTTACATTTATAAAATTCAACAAAAGCACGTACCTATTTCGGCTGAGTTATTCATTTTCGGTTATTTAGTATACAAAATAAACGCAAATTAAATGAGTTTGTACAACATGGCCATTAATGTAGCGATAGGTTGTACAACTGGCCAGAAAATCCCACTTTTTTGATCTTTCATACAACCAAGCCATAAAAACAACACCAAGTTGAACCAACCGGTCGCTTCGTTCATGGCTTTCTTTCAACTGCTCCTGTAACACTACCTTATATAAGTTGGCCTTGCTGTCATCCTCACATATGTTCATCAGAATATACCAACGAAGGACGAGTTAATACAAGGAGATAGCGAGAGCACAAAGCTACTCTAGAAAATTACACGCACAACATGAACAAATGTACAACAAACACATAATTTTTGACAATCAGCACAGTTCGCATTTATATCAGCGAGCAGCTTATTAGATTTGTTTTCGTTTGTACTACATATGTGCATATACACACGTACACAAACACACGTACATACACAAACATATGACATACATACAATTGTATATACAACCATTCAAACATATGTACATACATGAAAACATTGCTGTCCATAAGTACATCCATTTGCCCATCAGTACATCAACGAAGTCGTTTGCTTCATCATAAATATATCCAGACAAACATTTGTACATATGTACGAATGGATGTAGTTACGCGAAGCACGCTTGCCTCATTTATACATATATTGCTTGGTAGTGGCAGAGCTGAAATGCGCATGAGTTCGTTCATACACACATATATATATGTATACATACATACGTGCATTCAAACATACATATATACATATGTAGGTACTCGTACCCGTCATGCGTCGGTTTATTTCTTTTTTCCCCTTCCCTATGCTACCTATATCTTCCTTCTCACTCATGTAACGTTTTCAGTTTTAAAAATTTCACTCTCCATTTTTGCGATACCGCCGCTTAAGAAGTTTCACTTCAAAAAGTGAATGTATGAATAAATGTATATTAATAGGAATGTAAACGTATCGTTTAAATTTGTGTTAGTATGCGTAAATATAGGTTTGTACGTATAATAATAGTTGTTAGTCTTTTTTATTCCATATACTCAAAATCAGAATTATACATATCTCCTTGATCATTTGAGTTTTCCTTTTGGATTTGTTTCGTAGTAGATTCAGAGTTCTTCTGCTTGTATTTCTTGGTAGAATTTTTAGTTGAGTGGTAAGCTAGGTTTTTTGTTTAATTTTGCTGCTACTGATGTTGATGTTGGTGCAAGAGCGTTGAGAAATTCGTCAATATTCACGACATCGTACGATATAGGCTGTCGAGTGGTGAGAGATAAAGGCGGAGGTGTTGGCGTATGTATAGTTGGTGTTGGCATCTGTGTAATTGTTGTTGGCATCTGTGTGGTTGAGTTTTTGTTATACCAGTGGAAGCAATTGGATTTGAGTGACTTTCAGAGATCTCTTTAGTTGTTTGAGTTGAGTACTTTGTTATTGATGCATACGTGGAGTTGTTTTGTTGATGTCTTTGGTGGTATATGTTTGTTGCTTTCTTGTGGCTTACTTTCTGCAGTCTTTTGATTGCAGTAATCTCTTGCTGTTTAACAAATGTTGGGCATCGTTTGTCTAGTCGAGAGTGAAAAGTAAATTGAAGCTTGCTCTCAGTGCAGTTTATGCACGATGGGCTATTTGTGCATTGTTCGTTTAAATCAGCGTCTGTATGTTGTTGTAAGCTACAGTTAACACATGTCTTCTGGTTTAGGCAAACCTTGTAAGGGTGGCCAAAGCGCAAACAATTTTTACAGCGAAGAGGTTTGGGTATGTATGGTCGGATATTGGTTTTATGATAGCCGATCATAATATGTTCCGGAAGGTAAGATGTCCGAAAGGTTAGAATGACTAATCCAGTTTCCTGCAGCTCTATTTCTTTTTTTTCATATTTTTTTTATGTCAATGACACCCTGACTTTCGAGTTCATCACGAATAATTTCTTCGCTTATGTCTCTCAATTCATTTGAGTAGATGACTCCATTGCTCGTGTTAAGTGCGAGATTCACCGTGACTGTGACCTTGATGTTGTCCGTAAATGAGGTGATTTTGAGTAGTTTGTTGGCTTCTTCGATGTTTTTTGTTTTGATAAATAGTGTACCGGTGTTTGTCTTTGTGCATTCTTCCACTTCACCTCCGCAGGCGAAGTCTATAACTTTCTTGATTAGGAAGAGAGATACGTTTTTTAATGTTTCACCTGTGTTGCTCTGCCTCGATATAAAGAGATATCTGGGCTCAGGAACTTTAAGCCGACCAGGCGGCTCCACCATTGTTGTTCGTTTTTATTCTGTTTTGTGTTTTTAAAGTATTACTTAAATTATTTGATATTTTAGGTATGTGTCTTATGTGTGTACGTATTAGGGATGTCAATTTTCGGGGTTTTGTCGATCCCGGGATTTTCGGGATCTGAAAATACAATCCCGGGATTGTCCCGAAATTCAGGTAAAAGTGCAACACATCTGTGACCATCATATTATAGTATTTTAAATCAGATTGATATAACAAAAAAAAGTACAATTTAATATAATTCATTTACATATTTATTAAGGCGATAAATCAGTAATTTCAATCATCAAAAAACAAACATAAAATTTGACAAACATATATGTATGTATGTACATATCCTCATTAATTTATAACATAGTTTTTGTACTACAAGTACAAATGCATATACGGTCACTCCCAGAAATATTTTGCATAGTTTTTTTTTGCAATATTCAGATTATTTTTCATGGTATTTTTTTTGTTTATTTTAAAAAATATATACGTATGTGCAACTTTGAAGTTGCCAAAACATCCCGTTGACATTTTATAAATTTTTTTTGCCACAAAAAAATTCGTCATAAGGAAGAAAATGCCCAACATCGCAGTAAAAAAAATTAAAAAATCAAGGGAGTTTTTAGCAACTTTAAAATTGCAAAATTATTCCTTCTTTTGATGGAAATGCGATCTTAAAGAAATTGTAGCATTAGGGGTTGCAAAAAATTCTTGTTTTGCCCTTGAGAGGGGATATTTGTGATAAAAATTTAATTGGCTCACAAAAAAATTGTTTCCAGCAATCCCGGGATTTAAATCGACTAATCCCGGGAAATTCGGGACTTAAACAAGACCGGGGTCCCGGGATCCCGAAATGCCGGGATTGACATCCCTAGTACATATGTATAATTCCAATTTTTTTTTTTTGTAATTTATTCACTCGCGTATGAGTACTTATATAGCGCAGAGAGATATCGCTTGCCAACGTCTGTTCACTACGAAAGTTGATCTGACACTCACCTTGTAATTAGTTTTTTTTTTATTAGTTAGTTGAGCTCGGCTTTTCCTAGTTGCAGGCAGTCACAATTAATTACTCACCGCTGTCGGTACCATAAGCTATCAAATCTGTTTTGTTGTTCCATTCCATGCGCTCAATGTGTTTTGATATATTTTTTGAGGCGAATGAACGCAAATTTTCAACACAAATATCGCGGAAAAAAACCACAACTAACTAAATTTTTGTATTGCCTAAAACGATGTGGGGACTTATGATTCGATGAAATGCATCATAATCAATCAAAAAGTTTAGTTAGTTACGGCTTTTTGTATTTCAGCTACGATGTGAGTTAAGCCCTTTCCATACTATACTAACGATATATTACATGCCAAGTCCCGCTCCTCAATAAATACACCTTGAATTAATTCTTATTTAATTTGTGAACTTGGCTGTCGACTTATTTACATACCATTTTATCTTTATTTCGATGCGTGCTAATTTTGACAATTTACACAAAATTAAAATAAATGTTTTTATTTTCGAGCTGAAAGACTAATAAAAGGAAACACGGAACTTAAGAGTAATAAGTTTTATGAGGAAAAAAATAATTACACTAAGAAAAAGTAGAAAACAACTAGAGATGCATTCAGTTTTTTGAACAGACCTTTGACAAATAATATTCGATTCTCTCTATAGCCAGCCGTTGAACATTTCCGCTGGAAATACCCACTATTATCTTACGCTTTGACTTTAAATTACGAAAGAAGGTGGACGTAGGGGACAGTAGCATCTCTACAGGCAAAAAATATTGGCTAAAATTTTTGTTTGCCAGATATACGTTTTATCAGTGCACTTGTACAATATTCGCATTCGCAAAAGCTCCGCATTGATTATTGCGAATATTCGCTACAACCCTGATATGTATGTATGTACTTATCTGTGTAGCTGTGATACCAACAATAGTTTTTCTTCCAACGCTACAAGGTCCACAATCAATTGCGTTGAAATAAGTTACTAAAATATATATTAATTGAGAAATAAGTATACAACTGACAAAAAGAAACAATTTAATTAAATCAGCTCAATGACTTCTTCAATCACTGCCTAGTAGAATAAATCTATGAAAGATATGCAGCTCACAGTCTCCTAGTGTAACAACAGGCAATAAATTTAAGCAACATATAAAATTATGAAATTATAGTTTGGATTAAAATGAAGAAAAACAATGAAGTTGTTCACACTTGCCTGGTTATCAGGATATGTGGTTATAAAATACACTACACAATAATAATTTTTAACCAGATAACCTGATAACCAAGCAAGTGTACACAACCTCAATGTATTATGTGAATAATGTAGGCAGTTAAAAATTAATCTATTTTAACAGCTCCGTATATTTTGCGAATAAAGCTATACGCGGAAAAAAATCCGATGGTTCCCGTTAATAGCCAAAATGTTAATACCATAATGCCTGGAAAGTTAGAATAATATAAAGATTATATATAAAATGTTTAGTTTTTAAAACTTAGTTTCATAAAACATACCTGTATAGCTTAAATATAATAGTGTAGGAATGAATTCTGTGATTTCCAATTTTGTAAAGAAGTAGAATATGCTATAGAAAAGCACATATAAAGCTGAACCTCCTGAGACAATAAAGCTGCGCCACCACCAGCGGTAGTCCTGCGCGTAAAGACAAAACAATATTATAATTAAGAGCTCGATTTCTTCGCGGTAAGAACTTTTACCTCTCCACAAAGTTGGAAATATGTCATGACGATCGATATCTGACCACAGCTTACAACCAAGATACAAAATACAAGAAATAGAAAACCAAATAAGTAATAGAATTGATTCTGCCATATAGCCGTGAAGACGAAAAATAGTTCTATGAAAACCGCTCCGAACGGCAATATCCCAGCCATTAGTGTACTACAAAATACTTTAATATATTATAGTTCTGACGCAGGTATAGCAATGTTATTATACCTAAGCACAATATTCATGTACCAATGCTGTGTCGGCACTTGTCTTGGGATCATATTAGTGCGAACTGGATGTTGATATGGTTGCTTACGATAGCCGAAGTAATAGCCTAAATAAACCAGTGGAACTGAAATACCAAACCATAAAAGCAGCAAAGAAATCATTGTTGTGAACGGGACAGCTCCACTAGAATGTTTATCCCATATAAAGAAATTAAGTATAAAACCGGTCCTAAGGAGATAACATATAATTAAAATATATATAATTAACTTATGCTTAATGTACCCAAAAACAATGCCGGGATATAACGTTGCTGTTAAGAAGGCCGAACGTTTCCACTCTCGCCCTTTCATAGTTTTATAAAGACGGGCCGCAAAATAACCAGCAATAGTACCCATGAAGACGTACATAAAAATTCCTGATGTCATTAAAGCTCCTCGGGAAGAAGGTGACAGCATGCCAAGCATAGCGAAGACTATAAAACATGAAGTCAGCCAATAAAGTACTAAACGAGTTATACTCAACTAATAGCGATCTGTAGTGCGATTCACTAACTTTTAACAATGCGACTTGTCGAGTTGTAAGCTAACAATTTTTGTTGTTTGCAGTAACGATTGTGCGATTCACTAACTGCGCTGCCGCTAATGGGTACAAATCCATATATGCCAAGGCGTTCGTGTGAGCACAAAGCACAAAGTTCACAAGCATTTTATATGGATGAAAATGCGGAACATCCTCCGCAAAAAAAAAATTCTAAAAAATCAACGGTAACCTTCAGGAACTTGAAACTTGCACTTTATCAGACTAAAATTGAATGGGCTACAAAACTGCATACTCTTAAAACTTATAAAGATTCTGAATAAAAAGTTCGAAATCTTGGTGACAATTTTTTTAAGTCTGATTGATTTTTATTAATTTTGTGTAAACTGTAAACTTTGAAATATTCATTTACATATGTGGTTTCTATTAAAAATAAAATTATTAAAGATAAATAAATACACATATGTACATAAGTAGCAAACAAAAAACTTTTGAATTTTTCTGCCATATTTTACTCGAAGCTGTAAATAAAAAGTTAACAAAAAACATTTAACAGGAAAAGGATTAATATTAAAAAAAATCACTGTATGCACATTTGTACATATTTATTTTCAATACTGATTTTATTATGCTAGTGAACACATATACACAAGTTTTAACAAACAATTTTTTTGTTATGTAACTTATATTACTTTTTTTAATAGTGTATTCTGCTCCTAAAATCGTATAAACTCTAGTTTCAAACCTCGTGCAATATTAAACAAATTTCAACAACCTTTCGTAAAACTTCAAAATTTTTGTCAGAGTAATAAAAAAATTATGTATGCAATTTTGTAGCGCATAAAATTTTAATACATAAAGTGCAAGTTTGATGTTGCTGAAAAATCCTTTGATTTTTGATATTTTTTGCTAGCGGCGCTGAGCATTTTTTCATACGCAAAAATTGTAGAACGTACTTTTTTGTTTTATTAACAACACCAATCTGGACGTCGTCAAATTAGCGGTCTTTGTTACCGTTAACGACAACAGCTGATTTGGCGATAACGAATGTTGTTAGGGAAACGTTTACTGAATAGCTAAATTGTTAAAATTTTCATTTAGCTGATTTATCAAAAACAAGAGTTGTTAAAATCGCGTAGTGAATCGCACCACTGGGCTCTAATTGTAACAGTCGTGAACGACTCGTCAAGTAATAATGCATATTTCGGATTATAACAGTCGTAAACGTACGCTCGTCTCGTATACCGAATTAGAAGACGAGCAGTACGTTCACGACAGTTATAATCCGAAATATGCATTTTTACGAGGCGAGTTACTCGTTCACAACTGTTCCGATTCGAGCCCTGAATTTTCCAGAGTTCAGAAATGCTTACTCACTGCTTAGTCATGTATGTATGTGAACGTTTTAGTTTTTGCTATACTTTTTTCAAACATGTTTGAGATACTCAAAAATATTTCGATTCTGCTCATTCATATATCGTCGCTACCATGTCGAACTATCGAATGTGCCAAAATGCCTTTTCAATTACGAGACCTTGCGCAGAGCAAAAAAAAACGGCTGTACAAAATGTTATCATTAGGAAAAAGTGTGGGACTCGACACTTTGTTTAAGCCAGTATCCTCTACTTCTAATAATAAAAATCTTCCAAATAATAACCGAAAATCTTCCGAAAAATATCATGTTATTTGAAAACAATAATTTCAAAATATTTGTTCAAACTGAATATTTGAAAACATTTACATATACGTATTCGGCAGTAGCTGAGTGTTCAGAGAAGGGTGCGACTATTTGTAACCTTTCATGAGCTCCCAGGTTCGTATGCCGGCAGACGAACATATTAAAAATATAATTAATTGCTGAATATAATTAACTATGAAAAAGCATATGTGAAGTTCAGAATGAAAAATTTCAGAAAAACAACCGGAAAAGTTTCACAGCCATTCGTTGGACTTTTCTATTCACCTTTCTTTTAGTTTTCGGATAAATTTCCAGATTTTTTGCTGGCTATACACATACATGCATATACAGATTATTAAAGACGATCTTAATTACACTGCGTGACAATTAAATAAATTAATATACTTTTTTCGAGGTTCACACGTATTGTAGATCAAATAAAACACCTCTTTGGGGTAAAATTTTCGAGTGACGAAAGCTGAACTAGAAACCCAAAATTTATGATATCAATTTCGTGACGAAAATTATACGCATTTTTTAACTGCCTTTCAAACGTACGGAAAATTTTTTTTATTCATACGAATCGTTGCAAAAGTTCTGTTTTTTTTTTAACTGTGTTTCTAGCAGTAAACGGAAATTCGCAACGTTCCGAATAAATAAAAAGATTTTCCATACGTTTGAAAGGCAGTTAAAAAATGCGTATAATTTTCCTCACGAAATTGATATCATAAATTTTGTGTTTCTAGTTCAGCTTTCGTCACTCGAAAATTTTACCTCAAAGAGGTGTTTTATTTGATATCAATTATTTTGGGGTAGCAAATTTAAAATCGACGAAAATACAAACAATAAACTAAATGTTTTATTTTTCTCAAATAAATTGCTAAAAATATTCTCTAAATCTAAATTACGTATTCAAATCGATGTGTCCATTGAAACACATAGTTTTTCGAATACGGAATAAAGCGAAAAAGGATGATCAAGGATATGATGATATATCATGTATTCGAAAAAATTAAAAATAAAAAAAAAATATGAGAAATGATAAAAACTTATCAAGTTGGTACCAACTTTGGATACAATAAACAACTGTATTCGTCTGATTGCCTCGTAGTTTTAAGAAGTTTTACTTCTATCACGTGTACCGTGTTGCACTCGTGCTATTAAACTAATGATTTTTTCTCAAGTAGTTTTGCTCAGTGGCAATTTATACATACGTATGTAAGTAGTAGCGGCACATTGGGTGAACTAAATGTATTCATACATACATATATATGTACAACTATATGTAAATACCAGGTAGGTTAAGTGCGGGTGATAAACCCATGTAGCATAGTTAATACCTGCAATTAAAATGGGGAAGAACGTTACAATTTCGGCCTGTGACTGAAAAAAACTCTAAAATACACACAAATTGTGGTTTCCAAGGCATGTACGAAGTGATTAGCACAGCTGCATCCTTCAACTTGTCAACCCGCGGGAAATTCCCCCATTTGCAGGGAATTTCGGTTTAAGTGGCAATCGAGGAATGGGCGATTTTTTTCGGGGAACTGGGTATGTTATTTTTATATCTTACGGTAACCAAATTAGACGGATATGTTAATTTTTAACTATTTGACCCTTTTCGGAGCGACATTTTTTCAATTTGAATAGCAATATCTGCACAACAGGAGTTTTCCCAGATATAAGCTATGTACCAGATGAAAGCTAAGGTTTTGTGCTAGACTTGTGGGAACTTAGAATATAATCGACTGACCAGTTTTTGAGAAAATGCCCGAAATCTCTATTTTCAGCAGCCCGATTTTTAGGCGATAACGTTATGGCGTATTTATATTTTATAAACACAAAAGATAGCGTTAGATAGCCTGTTTGAAGACCCTTCTACTGATATCCACGTCAATGACATGGACTGAGTAGTGCGGCCTCAGTGGCAGTTTAAAAAATTGGCTTTTTTCGAATTTCAGGCGGCAGCCACGCCCACACAGGCATACGAATCAAAACATCCTGGAACAAAACCTTCTTAGTTTTTTGTGTACTTTAAATCCTGAAAGTGTGAAAAAAAATAAATGATGGTACGTACAGACGCCACATACATACCAAAGCATCCCGTAGTGGAGACACGAACCAAAACACATTTACCTCTATATCTTTCCAACTGGCGGCCGGAACTTAATATATAAGGTATCGTTTGAAAGGTATTGGCCTATAGAATAACACTAAATATGTTGGGTGTGCCCACATGCCCCCTTAAACCGGCAAAAGCAGAAAAACGTTTTTTGTTTCGCAACACTTTAGCCTAATTTTTTAGAATCCGGTTAATCGTTTACGAAGCTTGAATATATTTTCTGGACACACTCTGCAAGGCCTTTCCAACGATATATCAAACATGTCGATTGGAAGTCTGGATAAAAACTTCCAAATCTCGTGTATATATAAGCGAGTCATTTCAGCATGCTACTGTTGCTGCTTTCGTCACTCGCGCGCACTGCCGTGCGCTGTGATCTAATCAAGCAGAAAAATCTGCATACTCAGAATTTTAAATACACCCTCAAACTCTGGGCGTAAGGTCAATAAAATTATATAAAAAAAAACTACAAATACGCTTTTATTACAACAACTAAAAAGTATAAAATAATTTATAGATATAGCGATTACGTTTAAGAAGAATAAGAAGTTCCCTAACTTGATTTAATTTAACTTCCGACCAAACTCTATCGAAATCCACGCATTTTTTCATAGATAAATGCAGAAATGTTTATTACAGAAGTTGTTAAGAATTTTCGGCACGAGGCGCAGAGATTGCTTAAATGTTCAATATATATATTGTTTTAAAGTTAATCCAACCTTTAGTTTTGTAAACTTCATTATTTTCTCTTCAAAGTATTTTTGTAGATTATGCTCTCCATGCATGACAATTTGCGCAAATCGGTTGATGGTCATATCAAAATCGCTTCCTTTTTCAGTAACGTCCGAACGTAAATTTCGAAGGCAAATACACCGGCATTAACTTAAATTCAAATTTCCATTATTTTGTTCTCGTAAGTACTGCTATAAACATTCCCTTATACCACAAACAAATTTTAACTTATAACATTTTTGTCGGCAAAAAAGTTAAAATAAACGTCCGCAACGTTAGGATTCGCCCATATTCTGTAATATTGCCCCACCATTTCTCGAGATAAATTAACCAGTTATACATTGTTGTAAACCGCGAAATGTTTTCTCTTAAATGGCATATATAAGTATTTTTCATCCGGCAAACACAAATAAAGTTACGAGCGTTTTTTTACCTTAAGCTCAGATTTTGAGGGTGTATTCAAAATTGTGAGTACCTATGCGTATCTATTATTTGCAAATGTGTGACAAATCATTTGGATCTTTAGCAGCCAAATCGTCTGATCGCAAAACAAATCATTGATACATCGCTATCCAAATGCGAAAATATAAATTTGGCATTTTGTGTACAAATGTACAAATCGTGTGATCCCTGCTTAAGACTAGAA